TTATTATTCGTATTGATTTTAATCAATGCAGATAATTTCTTATTCAATTTATTTATGTTGAGCAATTGAATTATTCAAAGATAAGCTAGCATTTAATTTGTTTGTATTGACACTTATTTAATTTTTTTATATAGATGACACTGAGGGAAAACCAAACTTAGTCCATATAAAATTTATAAGATCGAAGTCCGGATTTTCCTTGGCGTCATTCATATATTATTTACTTCTCATTTAATTTATTCTTATTCACGTTGACATAGCTTATGATCTATTAATTTCTTATTTAATTTCTTTTTATTTATAGTTAATAGTCGTTTATCAAAATATTATAATACTGCAATTTACAGTATAGTCAAAGTACTTAAAATAAACTAATCATTTTCATTTAATTTGTATTAAATTAGTCTAATGTATGATAAGATTATTTTATTATGTGAGTATTAGAGATCAACTAAAATAATCTATTCGTATTTACTGTAGAAGTGAAAACAACAATTATACGATAGCAAGTTTCTTTTATCAGAGTTAATGTCACTCGCATAGTAGCAGCACATGGGAGTGACATTCACTTCATTAAAAAAAATGGAAACCGATATTTTTCTTCATTACCAATATTGTGCACTTAGATAATTACTTGACGGATATATCGAATATCAATACTAAAAATCAGTGTGAAAAAGTAAATCAGTTGAAGGGTAGAGTAATCGGTTAGACGCAAATCCATCATGTGATTGTATCTACAGTCATGTTTATAATTAACTCTTTTCTTTTTTATGTTTTCGTTCCTTATTTGCACGATAACATCTCGCAGCTATCTAGTTTAATCTGAAAAAAATTCTGCATTTGTTACAAAATGGAAAGTTTCACATTATGAGTTTATCAATTAATTTATAAAGAGTGTAATTGTCATGGGGTTAAGCGATATAACTAGTTTTATATCGAAATCTAACCAGATACGGATCTTTTAATCACTCGCTTACTTCTAGTTATTAGTACCAACGACGACAATAGATATAATCACAATGAAGGTAAAAGCTTTCTTTCTAAATAACACTTTTCTTATTTTCTTTTAATGAGCAAAACTCTCTTTTCTCTTGTGGATTACATTTCTTATTTATACATTGTACAGTATTGCGTCATTATACGCATGATTACAAAATTAACAATTACGCTATTACATATATTAGAATTAACAAATAGTTAATTTTAACTTTATTATTACTCATCACTGCAGCACTGGCATAGTTAATGTTGAACTTCTTTCCGTCACTCACGTGACAGTAATGCAATTTGGAAAATATATAAATTGTTAAATTAATATGAATAAATTACTTCTATTGAAAGATTTAAGGGTACAATGACTATTAAAAATTGCACACCTTCCAAACAAATAATTATATATGATAAGAGCGAAATACCAATTATTGATAATGAAATATTCTTATTTAAATCAGTTCATATGTCTCGTAAAAAATCAAGTAAAAACTAAAAGAGGTACAAAATATTTCGTAAATCAAGATACGAGACTAACTAAAAAGCTAAAAAAAAATTTCATAGTATGATCTAACGTACGTACATACTGCATACGGTAAAGTATGTACATAATGATAATTATTGTATCTTATATTCAAAATAGTCAACCGTTCAATAAACTTGATTATTATTTAATCAGCTCAGAAAACCACCGGTTGTGGTTTTTAGAATTGATCTCCATCCCTATTTATGAACTTTTTTGCTGTGTTTAATTTCAGGTCGTAATTATTAGTGAATCAAATTCTTTAGAAAGAATGGTAATTTTTATAGTGAGAGAGCATGTAATAGCTATATCTTGGCAATGGAATATAAGAAAGTTACTGTGTATTTGATGTGTAGACAGCTCAAGCAACCGATACTTTTTTAGTAAAATATTTATGGCATGATCGTACCTGGGTTTATTAATTTTCCCGCCACTTCGCTATTGGAGTATCATAAAATTGATTAATAAGGTAGATACTCCGATATGTGAATAATTAGTAGAACCAATCAGAGTGGTATAAGTGTAGGAAAAATTAGTAAACCCATCGTACCTTACGTAAATAAGTTAGTCGTAACTAGGTATAGATGTAAATCATTATCGTTATGTAACAAGGATGTAGATCATTATTTCGGTATTTTTAGGATAACTTTCTTCTAATTGGCCAACCACTTTCAATTGTGTTTATGCAGTATAAAACACTTTTTATGAATACCTGGAACAGAGTGTTATGTGTAGCATTTCAGGTAAAAAATCCCAAATTAGGAAATAATTCCGATCTGGGTTACTAAAGAATTTTTTTATACGTTTTACAATACTTTTTTTAGGAGGTTCGGGTTAGGGATGGGTTCGGTCATGACCGGTTATGACTGGTCAATAATCGTAACCAATAATGACCGGTCAGAGGTGGTTAACTGACCGGTCAAAATTATGACCGATGCCAGATTTTTAATTTTCTGGCTAATAAATAATAATTATTGTTGCATAAACTTATAAAATGATATTGGCATCTGATAAATAGAAAAACCCATCGTTTATAATTCTGGTCAAATTTGCAGATCATTTAGCCAGATCTAGAACAAAAAAATTTTAAATCTGGTAAAATAATCTGCAATTTTGGTCATAGTTATGAATCTATGGTTTATAATCTGTAATTTTGGCTACAATTATAAATAAGAAATGTAATCCACAAGAGAAAAGAGAGTTTTGCTCCTTACAATAATATTAGAGGAGGTACACCTTCTCTAGATAAGTTAGCACTTACTGAGCTAAATATAAATCTTACTGAGGGTAGACCATCTTCGGTAAACCTAATTTTCAATTTTGATTAAGCTTTATCAAAATTTTATAATTCATTCAAGACTATTAATAGTTCAAAAGGGCATTGGCAATGATGAGATTGTACCAAAAATATGAAGGTTCGGAAATGAAATGATACCGATACTACGGAAACATGCAACAAAAATAATATCATCTTCAACTAGAACTGCTTTGTCGCAGTTTGTTACTCAAACTAATACTATTCAAATTAAATCCTCAACCACAGCTTTTTTATCTCAGTTTGAAAGTCAAACTGATACTGCACAATTTATATCTAATACTATTCAAAATAACCCTCCTTCAACCACAACTATTTTGTCTCAGTTTGAAACTCAAACTGATAGTGCGCAATTTACATCAACTGGATGTCTGTGTACGGAAACATTAAGATCATTTGAAACTGTTTCGACTATGTTAGAAAGGTTTCGTTGCCTTTGTAACATTTTATAATGGAATTAGTATAATTAAATAATAATGTCATAGTATGAATAATTAAACTTAGGCATAATATAAAAATAATAAAATATTTAGGGACCTCAGTAATATAGGTCTGTATTTATCATAATATCCAATTATCATTAGCTTTTTGCATTTATTAGTACAGACCAGTTATTCTTGAGCCTAAATCGGTGTTAATAAAACCCAAACCTAGTCCAAATTACAATAAGCTTAAAATTTTGAACCTGAACTAGACCCAAGTTATATCCAGCCTATAAATTTCAGGGTTTAGCCTAGCCTATTTCACACTATAATTATATATATCTTGAATTAGTTCTACACAATCTAATAAAATCACAGAAAATCTATTTCTGATCTTTTAAATATTAACTAGCCTGTTATTAATATGCATCACTATATAAAATACTTATTTTAAAATTTTGAAATAGAGTTAATTTTTTGAATAAGAGTTTATTTTTATAATGTTTTTATATATTATTTTTATGGAATATAAAAATAGAGAATATTTGATTAAATAATTATCATATAAAAAACATATATCTAATAAACATCTTGTTCAATTTTCTAAACAAAAAAATTAGACAATTTCAAGATGATTTTTAAAATTTTTGTAGAGAATGAAGTTAAAGCTATTTTTAATGCAGTTATTAATATGCTTATTTACTTATTTATACTTGTATAGTTTTGTAAAGATCACATTTCTGATACCAAGCTATAGAAGTATTATATAGGTTGCAATGAGCACATCTTCTATTCAAAATAGATCTTTGAGAAAAGAACTCAAAAGCAAAATTTAAGAGCTAGCCAATATTTTAAATATAATTATACATAGTAGTATATATGATTACGTGTGTTCCTCTCCCTTCACATTATATATATAGATTATATACCATCTAACCAGGTTAAAAAATTTGTAGTTACTATTTTGAAGATTATCTAATCAATTAAAAGGAATCTGCACTATTATATTTCATTTTAGTAACGTTAAATTGAAATTCTCTAAATATTCATTGACATTATATTGCTACTAGTGTTTTTCTATTGTTGTATTTTTTGATAAATGAATAACTTATACAGAATTCATCCTTTTTAATTTCAATCTCTCTTCGATAATAATATCCTACATTATATGTATTTACTATTAGAATTAAAACCAAATATATAAAATGCATATTTGGAGCATCTCTAGTTTGAATAATTTTGCGTAAAGTTGGGTTGAGTTTAGAATTCAACCCAAATCTGACACTTAGAATTTTTTGGGTTAAAATTTTCTAACCCAAACCTGACTTGGTCTGAAAATTCAGTTCGGGTTTTGGGTTGACCTAACCCAATTAAGAGCTCTGATATAAATCAAAGATCATGAAAATATGTACTTTGAAAATTTTAATATTGTTGATAAAGTCTTAGAAATTGAGAACAATAATAATTAGCTTTGAAAAAGCTATACAATAAATGTAAAGCATTAATATTAATTAAATACTAGGAAAATATTTAACAAATTTAATACGACATATATTAAAATATGTGATAAAATTCAAAACATATTAACAATAAAAGGATATCGGCATCACTAGTACGTACGTACTAAGAATACCATTAAAATGACTAACATTAATATTGCTATGAGTAAGATTAAAATGGCTATGATAGTACAAATATGGAAGACAAATATCAAATATGTAAGTAAAAAGTGAGATAAAATGATCAGTTATGATGTGCAAGAATCTGTTATTATTAAAGAATAACCACCCATAGCTTTTAGCGATTTCTCTATCGGCATATAATACGCAACACCAAATTCCTTTATGCCACCTACTATATAGCCAACTGCATGAGCTTTGGCTAAAGCTTCACTAGTAATTATAGGTCCACCGCTATCTCCTTTATTAAAGAACTTACTTTTTTCAGTTTTTATTTTATTCAAGCCACTCACCAAAATAGGACCACTTCCTCGTTCAGGCCAAAATTTTACTGCTACATTAATTTCCACAATTTCACCACAAACATAACTATTAACAGCTCCAAAACCACACACATACTCTCCTAAGTTGGGAGAATAAATCGACGTTATCGGCACCAGTTGAAGTATACCATTTCGGTCAGGTTTAAGAACACATGCTTTTGGATCTCCATATATCCAAGTATATAATTCTATAAAGGCATAATCATTACCGTCTTCATCTCCCACTGCCATATTAGGAATATCTCCTATCTCCTCAAATTTTCCTTTAACTCTTATGTAAACATTAAAATCTATATTTGCATATGCACAATGACCAGCTGTTAATATACCTATTATCCCATTTGGTTTGATTACTGGAAAATTGGTTGTACAACGCGCACCATTAGGGCTCCCTACACGTATTATACTTCCAGCATAAACGTAAATAGATTTTTCATCTGTTATTTTTGAATTCATTAAATTTCTAGAATTATTTCGATCTGAATTTTTTATCATAGTTACATTAATGTTATCGGAATTTGCCTGAGTTACATTAGTGTTACCGGCATTTGCCTGCTGAAAAGTAGATAACTTAATAATTCCTGCCGATAGCACTTTTTCTATTGGCGTATAATAAAAATATTTACGACCAGTACTATTATCATTAAAAAGGTTTGTGATATGGCCAAGAGCTTGGGCAGTTGTAGTTCCGTTGTTTTCGGTTTGTATATAAACTGGACCTCCTATATCTTCACTTTCAAAACCTTTTACTCCGGGAAGGTATACTTCGTTTACATTTAAATTTGTAAGACTACCATTCCAAGGATTAGGAATTGTTATCTCTACATTAATTTTATTAAGTATTCCACAACGATAACCACTCTTAGATCCGTAAGCTAAAGATGCTTGACGAAATTATTTTTGAATTGACGAAAGGTATCGTCAAATTACATACCTGACGAAACCTTGACGATTGACGAAACTGTTG